GTCATCAGGCTTGGGGACTTAGATTCAGGAGTCCGACCCGCGTATCGCATCGCACTCAGAGGTCCATGTAAGTAAGTCACGGTCTAAGATTGAGGACTGAGCATGGATTGCAATGTACGCTTTAGGGGGCCACCAGGACGTATCAAGAGTGCGCGACCTTCCTTTGCGTGGGATTAACGGTTATTGTTCCAGAAGTGTGCATATGGACCGGTGTGCGCATAGGCTAAGCTTGCACCTGCGGGCGGGCTTCTGCTATAACGGCACTTTGCAAGGCTGGATTGTTCTGTCCCGTTGCCCTTCCATGTCCTACAAGGATCTAAGATGGCCTTTTGTGCTCATAAATGCCACGTGCACGCAATGCAGCGGCGGTTGAAGCATGTGCTTCTCCTCGCTCTGAACGTGTGCTCAGCTGGATTTGGCAACCCTAAATAGTACTTTCCATTTTATTTTCCACTATCCCAATATAACCCCCAATATATACCTCTCTATAAACCCCTATAAAACTCTATATATCCCTTTAAAGGAACCTAGGGTTTCCATTTTCTTTTCCATTACCCCAATATAACCCCAATATAACTGAGCCATCCACTGTAATCATCGTAGGAAGGGATCCTGGGCCTCGTTTCCAAGAGGTTAACATCTATGCCATCACTGCATCCATGTTTAGCTCAATGCTGCTGGGAATTTTTGCATTTAAACCTAGTAGCAAAATTGTGCCCAGTATCACCACAATGGCAATAATACAAGCAGCAGAAGCATTAGCACCAGCAGATAGCAGCAACGGTAGAAGAAGAAGCAGCAGCAGGTAAGGATTTCAGTAGCACTCTGAAAAAGGGATTCTCCCCGCTGGATGACCAACCCTCTCAAGCCGCAGCGCCATGCAGCGGTGAGCTTGCATCTTGAAGCAGGAAGTCCCAAAGCAAATCAAGCTCCGCCGTGTGTTGGGAAAGCGCCTCCTGTGCTCTGACGTCCTCCGAGCCTCATATTGTCTTGGAACATCTTGCTCATTTCGTCGACGCTCATAGCTTTTTTGAAATGCTCAAATGTGACTTCTCCAAAAACGGCTTCCCTGCGCACTCTGCGCAGGAGTTCCTTCACTGTCGCACCGATTGCCGCCGTGACCGTAGTTGCTATGACCATCTGGGTCGCGCCGCCAAGCACAGTACCAATGACAGGGATCATCTTGATGGCAGAACCCAGCGTGTAGCCGAACCCGGCGCCAGAGGCCAAGCCAGAAAATGCCGACACGACTTGCTTTGCACATCTAGGATCCACCTTGACTTCGTAGACCGCACCAAGGTTCACAAACATGGCCACCTCATTGGCCATTAGCAGTGGGAAGTCGCTGAAAGGGATTGGGGAAGCTCCGATCGAGGCAGCAATGCCAGTATACAAAGCAATGCGGTGATTTGCCATTGAATCCAGATCGTTGAGAAATCTGACCTCCGCCACGTGAAAGGATTCGGCCACCATCTCTGGCAAGCGAACCACTGTCTGTCGTAGCAAGCTTTCAATGCCATAGTGCTGCTTCAGTTGCACTTCCTCCTTGTACATTACGCAGTCCTGGTTGCGACACTCGTAGAAATGACCCTCCATAACTACGATGCGCTGGCACCCACAGGTCTCGCATTTCTTCTTGATGGGGCCATTCTTTGGCGTTGCAACGACTGGCACCACGGCAGCAGCCCAGGGACACAACTTCTGCACGTCATTGAGCACAACGTCCACCTCCTCTTCCTTCTTGTCGCACTTGTTCACAACAATGAAGATGGGGATCGACTGGAAAATCTCTTGCACCGTATGTTGCAAAGATGGCTCAAGGCGATCAGCAGTGACCCACCAGACGGCATGCAGGCACTCGGCATGGTATTCTGGTGAGTTTGGCCTGTACCTGTTGGCATTCTTTTGGTGCTCGGTCCACAAATTCCGCAGATCATCCATGATGTCTTGGTTCTCACTGAGCGGCTCAAATCCTTTAGTGTCATAGACCCATACCGGGCACTCCGAGTCTGGGGGGTACCTTGAGATCGTCTGAGTGCACGGCATGGAGTGCCCCACAACACCACAGCTTCTTTGAAACACTGCGTTGATGAGGCTTGTCTTACCCGTGCCCGTCGCACCCATGACAACAATGCGTGCACCATTGCGTTGCAGATTTGCTGTCGCTGCCTCATACTGCCGCTTCACCTCCTGTTCAGCTTCAGCGTCTGGCATGGCAGGCATCGGTGGGTTCGACATTGCACCTGGCTTCTAGGCTTCTCTATGCGGAACAACGCGGGAATGCGGCACAGAGCTGACAAAGGCTGAGGCACACATGCAGCATGCGCACAAAACAGACTGAGATGGGTTGGCATGCTATGATATCACCATCTACACGTCATAGCTCAGCAGAACCGCCCTGCGGTGGCAAGGCGAAATCTGCTCATGCAAGCCCTGCAAAATGCAATTTCAGCATGTGGCTTGGAAACTTTCTTTGGACCCATGTCTGGGGTAGGACTATTCTAGGTGGCCATCGACTGCAATCCATCTGTAGCAGGCATTCTGGCACCGGAGTCATTGCGAGGACTACATCGCATGCTAGAAGCATTAACTGCTTGGAGTGCCAAATAGAAGTATACATTGTCGTACAAGTGCCAACTGCAGGGATCTCGGCTGGAACCCTCAAGAAGGCGACGTCAACTGTACGGTAAATGGCGGCGGAAATGATGCACAACCATGCATGTGCTTCCCAATGTGCACTGCAGTGAGTCAAGCATCCCAGTTATTGCAAGAATTCCGTTGATAGCAATACCGCAGATAATAACAACAACCGGAAGCCCTGAAAGCAACAACCTCCAATCCAAGGCCACAGCACTTGGTCAGCAGGAATTCTGATGGGGCTGCCTACAAGGGGATTAGATTGATGAGTAATGGCTCCCACGTTCCCTGTAACTATCCTTCCCTTACCTACAAGCAAGAAGCATTTGTGAAACCGATCGCCGCCTCGTTGTCGATGCGAAGCCCACGCATCTGCCGAAGCGAGAGCACTCCAACATCTTCCACGAGGCAGCTGAGCACTGCCTTAGTTTAACGAAATGCATCACGGTAGAAATTACGGCAGGTTATCTCACAGCCCCTGTAGCTACACAATAGAACTCCTATGCTGTACTATGCACTCCAAGATTTTATTTTGCAGATTCTACTGCATGCAAGCCCTTAGGATCTGCGCGAACCCCACTCTCAACCTGGCATCAGTCGGATCTTCACTCTGATTTGTTCATCAATCACCTCCAAGTGGTGCCCAAAGGGGCAGACAGGATTGGCAGTTTTCGGGGCTTGGACGTATAGTTTTCGGGCTTAACCTAGTTCCTTAGGGTTTTCCCAACAAGCTCTCAGTTGACAGCTCGAAAACCCAATGCCAAGTGGGTTGCAACGATGCCTATGGCCCCCACACATCTCGCTCAGGTAGGTACAGCCGCAAGGTAAGGCAGCCGTAAGCCAGCCAAAGGAAGACCCGGGCAGTAGATACTTAGTAGAAAATCATCACAAAGGGGTATCTCTGAGGTGCGTAATCATACTGTGGCAGCGCTAGAGGAGCAGTATGGAATTGGACCGTCTACAAACTCTGCACCTGAAAGTGGCTTCACGTGAGCACAGAACCCGGAAGCCAAGGTCCTGGACCCTACAGCCCTACCTAAGTTCCCCAATGGCCCAGAGCCAAAAAGTTTAAACTTTTGATAGGGTTATAACTACTACATTTTTTATAGGGTCTCGCCTGAAATTTTCACTTGAATCTTAATATTACTGCTCTTGTTGGAAATACTGCTACAGCTGCTGCTACTGCTTTTGCTATTGCTACCGCTACGGCTGTCGCCACCTCTGCTTGTACGTCTACTCCTCCTCCGCCTGCAGCTTCTACTTCTGCTACTGCTACCTATTGCTACTGCTACTTGAGCTTCCACTACTACGAAGACTACTACGTACCCTTACTACTGCTCTCTGTGAAGTGTGCAAACAAGTTGCATGTTCAAACCCTAAACCCTGAACTCTAAACCCTAAACAAGTTGCGTGTTCTTGAAGCAGGCTTGTCGGCGCCTGTACATCCTTCACGCCAGGAAGTCGCTTCCTTGGTTCTGCCGGAGGCTGCGAGCACAGTATGGTATATACCTGTGCCCAAACGGACCCATTACCATATTCTGCCAGGGTCCTGACCATGAGGTGCCAACGGTCTCAAATGTAATTCGGCTTTTAGGGTTCAGCACAGGGACTCTTTCCAAACTATTCGAACACACCAGCCCACCGACCTATGACTAAGTGAGCCACTCACCACAAAGTCTTCCCACACAATTGCATGGACACTGGGTATTTTATGGGACATTCTTGCTCTCATACTGGAGACCAGGCTCCTACAATCCAATTCCCATACCTATCCTCACTTTCCCTCATGGCTTTCTACTTTGCGAAGTCTATAAGAAGGAGGAGATAACTTCCTTGAGGTCCCTGCAGCTTCTTAGCCTGTCCCGCAATAGCATTTAGACAAAATGACCATCCAGGGGGCTCCATGTAGTTGTGGGGAGGGTAGGGCTTGGGGTTTGGAGCTGTGCTGCTCTCCAAGGTCCTTAGTGAGAGCTGACACCCCTAAACCCTAAACCCTTAACCCCAAAGAGTAGTTTCCATTTATTTTGCATTATCCCAATAAAACCCCAATACAACCCCAACGGGTCCTGATAGTTTGATCCATAACATCTGCTCCTGTCTATGCCTCCCGCCTCTACATACGTCGACCCGAAGGCCGTTGGATTTCAAGCAGTAAGCGCGAGGAGGCTTAGGCCCACTCAAAACCTCAAAATCCGTGCCATCAGGACCCGTAACATTTTGAACCCTGCGCCCAACAAAATGCTTCCACTTACATCGGCGTGGGTTCTTATTGTAAGGAAATTCAATGCCTGTAGTGAAATGCCTCCCACGGTTCCTTGTCCAAGCATCAGCTGTAGGCAAGTCAAAGCGGGGTCCATTCCAACATAGGCCGCGCCCGGCCGAACAGAAAACTGCAAAGTGTAAAGATTCTCCTGGCCCAGGGGCTCCAGAAACCCGTATCCGATATGCTTGGGACATCAAGTTGCTCCATGTAGGTACTTTTACGCCTAGGTATATCCCATGTCGGTACTTGGAGTCTTCGGGTGAGCAGGCGTGTAGACCGTAGGGCCTAAGCCTTAGGGCCCAAGCGGGCATTGTATATAGACTTTGCAGGGTGCAAAGGGCTAGTGATGATTTTGAAGCCCGCCCACCAGCCGAGTCTCATCTTACTTTATTCCCCCTGACTTTGGTGCTGTCGAAGTGTCACTATGAGGATATGCTGTTGATAACATGTGGAGCAAGATGACCATGCACCTATAGCCTGTTCCATTTACAATAGTCTCCTTCTGCAGAGGCTGCCTGTCGTCGACAGTGGAGCTAGGCTCTGACGCCGCAGCAGAAGATGCCAGGAAGGGCAAACAGGCTGCCATGAAACCAAATGTGATGATTGAAAGGATGGTGCCTGAGGTGTCCAGCTTCTAGGGTTTAGTATTGAGGCGTGTTTGAGGGCAGGAGGGTAGGGCTAAGGCGTTGGGGTTCAAGCATCATTTCTCCAAGGTCACAGTAACCTATTGATTCACATCGAGATTTCTACTACGAAAACAGTAAGCGGCTACCCACCGAGCAGGCAAGACACCGCTGTAGGACAGGTCGAAGAAGGTCATCTCATACCTTAGCGCTCGGCAAAACCTCTTTTGAAACATGATGTTCCAGTACCCCCTAACCCCCAACACTAGGCTTGCTGCGGAAGAGGGGCACAGAGACAACAACGTAAAAATGTCCTTACGGGATCCAGGGTAGGGGCCAAATGTAGCTGAGTCACGTGTCACCCAGTACCACACACGTAACTTAGAAGCCCAAATGTTGACCAATATCAGTTTGAGCGCTGTTTGATGTGTACACTCTACCTTAATTACTTGAAACAGGAACCTGCCGGTACTTTCTCCAATGGCCCGAGTTGAAAAGTCAGCAAATTCTAGACCTTTATTAACCCTAAACGGCCAAAAGTAGGCCCCATCCCCAACCTTTGCATGCGTAGCAGGCCGCAAGCCTCATACCCCCTAAGCCTGCATCCTAAACCCTAGACCCTGTTTGAAGGGTCAGGGGGACTAAGTAAGTAGACGTATAGGTTTTATAGGGATAAAGGAAATGAAGATGGAAACTACAATTTCGGGTCTAGGGTTTAGGGTGTAGGGTAACTTCTAACCCCCATAGCAAAGTTGCCCCGATGATTGACCTACTAAGTCCGCCGACCCTAAACCCTAATCCCTAAACCCTAAACCCTGCAGTAGCTTCCAGGCTCTTTTCCATTTTTTATTTACCAGAGTCAAAACCCTAAACCCCACCCCCTGCCAAGACATGGCACAATGTCTTGTCCACGCTGTCGCGCGCCACCAGACAGTGAGAAGACCCAATGAGTGTGCAGGAGCCACCAAGTTGGGCCTTGAAAGCTGCAACAGTAGCCGCTTAGGGTTTAGGGTTTACGGTTTAGGGCTTAGGCTTTAGGGCTTAAGGTTTAGGGCTTAGGGTAAAGCGGTTTAGGGCTAAGGGCCTAAGAAGACCCACGAAGTGTTGTGCCTTGAGAACGGCAACACTGGCGGGATTAGGGTTAAGCGTTTACAGTTTAGAAGCCGCAAGCAACAACTAAGGAGCAGGAGGAGGATCAGTAGGAGCAAGGAGAGCAAGCATAATATACAGCCCGACTGGGCACACTAGTACTGATAACAAAAAACAAGAGAAGAACTACTCTATTGTAGACTGCCACGATCCCTAGAAAGCCCTGACCCCTTCCTTCGCCACTATCAGGGAGTTGTCCTGTGTACCCTTAGCGTTTGTATCCTCCGGTTTGGATCTCTCAGCCATGGACTGCAGCTTGTAATTCGGGTATTTGGGACCCACAACCCAAGGTTGCAGACCTTAAGGGTACGAACCGAAAGTCTGAAACACTGGTCCTTTCCCAAGTCATCCCAGCAAGCCCTTCAAGACGTAGATCATTGCTGCAGCGACATAATCTCAGCTGAGGCTCAGCAAAAGACAGCGGCCTTGCTTTGGGGCGAGGGAAACTTACATGAGCCATTGTCTAAACT